ACACATAATATATAAGTCAACAAGTTTAAATTAGCTGATTTCTGCTTAAGATATTTACCATACTTTCATGAATTATTTTTGAATTATTTTAAATAAATGTTAATTAATTTTATTTATATTTAAGTATAAAAACGATAAAAAAAAATATGGGTAATACTTTAATTAATTTTATACATTTCCATGCATTAAACACAAACCAAATATTATATTATACAAATATTTTAAATTCTATTTAATGTTGAAACACAAATAAAACCATAATCTTTAAATCAAAATTATATAAAGGATAATCATCAGTATTTTTTTGTTATTATTATTATTTTAGATTTTTTTTTTTTTATTAAGTTTAAGAATAGCAGCTAATGCACAACGTTTTTGCGAAGTATTTCACAATTTCTAATGTTTTCTACAATTTTATTTCCCAAGAATAATTATCTTTAAATATATGCTTATATTTATTAACTATTGATTTGATATTTGATCAGCATTCATTAAAATGTTCAAATAAAACCAATTTCAAAGATTTTAATTTTTACTGTTCGTATTGTAATTTAAAAAAGGAAAAAAATCTAAATAGTAACTATACCTAAATATGTACCAAGTACATGATAAAAAATAAAACAAATATTTTAAAATTATATTAAATATGAAAAGATTTTTTTAATAAATTACTTATAACTTGCTAATAAATGATCATAACAGGATGTTTCAACTAAATTCATTGAAATAAACTATAAATTTTTTCATAAAATAATAAGTACAATATATCGTTATATTTTAATTAAATAAATTAAAAACATTTTAATTAATATAACTAAAATATTTTATTATTATTTTCTGGAATTTAAAATCAATTTAAATAGGCACCTATTGACATTTTTTTTAACTTAATTAAATATAATTGTATAATTAAAAGTTATAAACTATAGTCTAAATCTCTATATCATATGGAGAACTAAATATTATATTACTTTTATGCTCGCTTTTATGTTATATTAGTTTTGTAATTGCATTAAATACTCATAAAGTTGGTCGAATAATATTAGGAAATAACAATGTGACATATTATATTTGACTGTTTTAAATGATTAATTAGTTTTGTGTCAAAAACTACTCACAGCCATATGGTAGCCCAATGGTGGTGGCCGTCTCGTAGGGAAAGGATATAATATGAACATCTGCTCACCAACGTGGAGTGATGAAAAAAAAAACCAACAAAAACATACAGAACCTATAGATATTTTCATCTTTTACAGTCACGTTAATATCTGCCGTTGACAGCAGCTGAACGTCCTACTAAGTCCGCAATAACGAATTTTGTACGAAGTAGGGTTTACGTAGTAAGTATCTTGATTATTATTTATACATGAAAATGTATTGATGTTCATTGACAGGTATTTATTTATTTATTTTTGTTCGTGTCATCTATTATCATAATTTCAACAATAACGGGCATAATATTATACTGAATGGCAACATTGATAGTCTCAATCATTTTCAAATACCAGAGAATACGAAAATATAATTCCTGTACAGCCTGTCAAATATTAAATTACATTAATCTTAGGGAATCTTTCTACGACTCTAAACTAGGTACTTGAATCAACCTATCCTAAAAATATCTTCTGTGATAAAAAATGTAACGTCAAATTATTATAAACTCAAAATTATACAGTTTCTATGTACCTATTATTAATTTAACTAATCAACGTATACAAAAAATAAAACGTAAAATATTTCACCAATAAAATATAAGTATAACTGTAATAAATAAGCAATGGTCCAACGAATATTACCTGACGTTGCAGTAGAACTTTAAAAACCAAACATATAACGTAAAAAAATTACAAAAATTATAAATAGGTATTCTTTTAAATAATATTCAGTTACACTTAAAATAATAGTATGAAACAAAATTTACTATCATTATTGAAAAATTAAAAATAATTGTACTAAAGAATAGAACTTATGAATAAAATCACTCTACAGATCAAAATGTTACTCACCTACATCAACGGAAATATTATATTGTCAATTGTTTAAAATGATACGAGTGTATCACTAGATCAACAACAATATAAAATTGAGAAGCCTTTTTGAACACCAGAAATTAATTTTAAACTAAATTTACCATTACACACGAGGCATCTATATGCAAGCAGTGTCAAGAAGTTTAGATAAAAATCATTCACCCTATTGTCAATATCTTAACAATAGCAGCCCTAAAACTCTAGCTTGGCTCGACTACGATAAATCCTCTTTTACAAACGCATTTAGATATTTCGATAAAGAATACGCTGTGCAGCTGCATTGGCTTTTCACAATGAAAAGTAAAATAAAACCGTATCGTAAAAATTAATATTTCTTTCAAAATAACAATACGTATTTCTGTTTAAGTACTAAACCGGGACTGAAGTTAGTTTTATGTTAATTTTATGATTGGACATAGACACGTAGTCATATAAAAACTAATATTTTGCATTCATTAGATCTACATTAATATAGTTATTATTTAAAAATATAGTATTAAAAAAAGAGAAATACTGATGGATATAATATAACATTCACATGACCACGAAAATTTGTTATTTCTAAGTATATATTTTTCAAATAATTGTCAAATCAATAAAAATAATAGTGTACGTGATACAAAACATATCTTATAATAAATCACACTTTTGGGCTTAATCAACTTTTATTAGAACCTTTATATTACATATACTTTTTATATCAAAACACCTTTATTAATAATATATATTCAATTACTATATAATTTATATAACACATGATATAAGTATGACATAGGCATAAATCATTAACATAGTACTATTATACTATTAGTATATTTTCTCTATAATTTCTCTGTATTCTTATTTTATGATAATTATAATATAACAAATTATCAAGTGATGTATGTTATCATAAACATACTTTAACTAATAATAAGCAACTGCCTAGTTAAATAATATTATATGTGAGTAATTGTGTCAGGTACTTACTATAAAACCAATCGATCATTCAATCATAGTAATAAAACGTATAATTCATTGTTTTATAATTGCAAATATTATCATATTTAATGCATAATTGATTATCAGTTTTTTTATAATAAAAAAAAACACACACAAAACCGTAAATCAACCCAGATACAATATATTACATAAATAAATTGTAACCATTCTATTTTACCGTAGTATAATAAATAGTACTTGGATAAACTTTGGTATAAAATTATGTTAGCAATTAAAGAAAAAATAGAATTAGAAATAAGAGTTATAATATGAAGGTTTCTTGATAAAAACAAATGATTACCATCACCTTTTTTTTTTTAACTCCTTATATTTTTAATGCACAATTTAATAAATAAACTGACATTTTCCTTTAATTTTTAGATTAAGATATAGTACTGAAAGGACAAAGGTAATCAGTTATCATAACACAAGTAAACGATTAGTTTTTGTTTTTAAATTAAACATACCGAGTGACCATACAAGACAATAAGTAATAACTATACTTTATCCAGTCACTATCGACGACAGTGTGCTTCACAAAAACTAATCCAATTATGTTCTGGTAAAATTGATATTGTGTGCTTTATACAATATTATGTGCTTACATCAATAACCAAATATTAGATATTTAATATTTTAATACCATACAACTAAAGAATATATTTACTAATTAATTATCTCAATTCAATCAAAATATTATAATGTTATCAAATCAAAGTGGGTACCTTTTACCGTATTTCCATAACTCATAAGACATAGTCCCTAATATTTAATAATAACTTACTTTCACTTTCAACATCATCAAAATTCACTATTTACACTTGTTGATACTCGCATAAATAAATACGGATTCCTATAATAATTGTATACTTCAATATATTTTGTGTATGTTCTAAATACGTATTTAAATTTTAAACAATACCAATGGTACCTAGTTCTATTTTTTCCGTGTTTATTAATAGACGGTATTACACACAGACACTTTTTTCTATCAAAAATTTACTATTGACATGTAAAGTTTGAGAAATATATTTTTTAAATATTTTCAATTATCAACCTGCAGTTGGACAAATATTACTGGGATACAATCAATTTCAGATACTTCACAGAGTTAAAATCTACTATTTAGTTTTATTTTCACACAACGTATGAATTCTCGAGTATATAATTTCTCAATTTTCGTAGTCTACAAAACTTTATTATAGTTTTTAATCAAAATACCTACTTTCTTTACTTTAAATATAATACTTAAATAATTCATCATCGCGAAAATTAGTCAACTGTTACCAGTAGACTGATCGTATTTTTCAATATTTTCAAATGAAAACCATTTAAAATGTACCTACACCATAAACCCGTATACGTTGGAAAAAAAAACTAACGGGAAATCAGATATGTACCTACTACAGAAGCCAATAGGTACCTGGTACCTACTACCTATGATACGTGTTAACATGTCACCAGACTGTGATGACTATACGGCGGTAAACGGATGACATAAGGATATCGCTTTCGATTAACCGTTTCGGTCTACGAAACAAGTGATAAATATTCGAAGGCACACATGCATACAATATAGACTATAGATTGATAACACCAAAATCAAAAAAGATATATCATTAAATAAAATGTTCGCAACATAATTTGATAAAAAAAATACGTTTTACCAAAACCTTCTCTAGTCTTTTCCCAAACAGTAATTCGGTTTTTTTTTAATCTAGAACACCAGCCAGTCTACAAATAAAATATCTTAATAGTACGTATGTCAGTCGTTACCACAGAAAACTAAAAAGTATTTTTAAATAAATGCATATACCTATTGTACCTACTCGTATTGCGGTTGTTTTTATGAACCTCGTTTATAGCCTTAACCCAAACAGACACGTAGTGTAATATAGGTAATATAACAATAGTAATCCACAGGCTAAGACCAGGTCCGTGATAATATTATATACATTATGACGTGAAATTGCGGTGTTCAGTACTTACTGTTGAAGTACAGTATCTTTCTGGTGGAACCGAGTCTGCGGATGGGCGACTTGAACGCCGACGCGTCCGCCTCGTCGATGCCGCCGATCAGTTCCTCGGCACACAGCATTTCGACTATGGACCGAATGGCGACGGCGGACGGTGACCGTTATAATACGAGCGGTAGGTAACCTCGTAGATAGGCCCCGCAGTGTCAAAACTATAAATGTCGTCGGCTCGGAACAGCCGCGCTCTCGTTTACCGACTAGTCGCCGCCACAGCAGCGGTGTTCGACGACGCGATGTTCGCATAAACCGTCGCGAAACGCATAGCGCGAAAAACCGAAAAAAATAAGATTACCGCACCACGGACACGGGCAACAGGTGTGCCAAAAAAAAAAAAAAAAAAAAATCGTAATTAAAACGAACAACCGCGGTATAGTGAGAAAACACTTGGTCGCCGTACCTCGTTTGTTTGCCGACACCGACCAACACCGGGCTCCTGTGCAGTGTAATGTCCCGTTTACCGGCGATGCGTCGTGCGTATTGCACGCTGCCCGAAAAAATAAAATATCAACTGCCGATCGACTCACACCTGCACACTGCTTTAACACGCTGCACCACACTGCGTTCGGAATACTCGCGAAGCGCTATGACGACGGTAGCGAACAGCGACTGCAACGAAAAACGATTTAAAAAGAAAGGAAAACACGCAACGGACGACGCGATTAAAAACCAGTTGACCTGGACGGACGCCGTGCGGGCTCTGCGCCGTCGACGGTCGTGTCGATGCGTGGTTACCGCTGTGTTGTCGGCGCCGAGGACCGGTCGGGGAGCGGGGAGTCGTCGTTGTCGTCGTCGGGAGACTGAACCGCGGCAAAACCGAGCAGCGCCATCTGTCGTCGGCGGCTGTAATGGCTGTTTACCTGCCTCGCTACGGTTCAAAATCGTTTTTACTTTGTATCGTTATTATTATTATTATTAATATTATTTAACTCGACACGCGTCTTGCGACGACAATTTTTTTTTTTTTTATAGTCGTGTTTTCTGCCAATTATTATTACCGCCCGTTGATAATATCCGCCTTATCACCAACGGTGTAATACACTCGGCAATTATTAAAAAAGAAATTTGTTTTTTTACCGAATATGTGAAATGATATTATGAGTATCGTTACAAATATGGTCCAACACGCGGCGATGAGAACAAAACAAATGTCTGGTCCACGAGTGCGCATACAGCGTAGGTACACGCGCACGCATTATATTTTTTATAATGCGCAATGATATTTACTGAAAAATAACACGGTGTAACGGGATCGGAAATAAAACACTGAATAGGGCCTCGTTTCGTGAATAGGTAACATAATATATTATGTTAATTATAAATATGTGATAAGCATTCGGTCCACATTTTATTGCGCTAAAAGAGCAACGAGGTTTGACAAAGACGCGTTTATATACATTCCTGAATATTAAGTATATTGTTTAAAACCGAATCCGTCGATTAAAATTGATCCTGGCTTTGTTGTTGAAAGTTTTAATTTTAACGGTAAGCCGTACACTTGAAACGGAAAATAAATACCCATACAACAAGTAATCCGCTTTAAGTGTGTAACCATATTAAATGCGTATAATGGTTTGATCAGCGTATCATTAAATATTTAAAGTATTTTTAACAAATTTATTTTTGTATGTAAAAACGTTTATATTTTTAACAACTTAAAAAAAAAACACGAATAAAAATATTTTGTCCATGTAAACAACAACATAATATATAAGTTATGCTTCAAGCCTCTTCTTCCCACCCCCTCTCATAATCCGCTTACGCTTGAATATAAATTATTATGAATGTCTGTTATATTATGTTTTTCGGTAAACTAAATTAAACATTGGCCAATTTTCCAATTGATCAAAGAATACGAATTTCAATAAATCCAGATTCAGCAAACAGTAATTTGCAACGTTGTCAAACTACATACTCGTATAATTTTATAAAATGTAAAGGAAATAAATTAGTGCATTTTTACAAATAAGTAATTATCGTTGCCTTTATTTAAGATAAGCTTCTGTATAATTTAATTTTATACATAGTAGTATACCTAAAATGGTTGTTAGAATTTTGAATTAAGTTTTAAATTAAAAGGTGAATACTGAATTACAAATATAATCTTAAATTGTACAACGACAATTTTTTTTTTTTTTAATCAACACGATATTACTGTTGAATAACTTTTGCACCACAAAATCACTATGTGTCATTACGAGAGAAAAATACACGATAAAAATAACGTTATGATAAACAAAATAATTATTGTATAATGCATTAAGTAGGTACTACATTAGTAATACAAAAGAAAAACAAATTTGGTTTAACTAACTACCTTAAATAAAAATTCGAAGAACCAACATATAATTATACAAAACAAACAACTCAATTAAAATATAATTATGGTGTATAACCTATAGGTATCGGATATATTTACATATTATACATAAAATAATATTAATCAAATAAAAATAATTATAAATATAACCGTAACGTATAAGGGCTTATAAAAAATTATAAACATTTTTAATTTACTTGGATATTTAAACTTATAATAAAACACTTTTAATCAGAAAAAAAACAATGTAGTATAACTTAAAATATCATAGATCTCTAAAATTAAAATAAGCTTGGGTACACTAAGTTTAGATTTACAGTCTACAATAGGATATTCACAGAGAATAAATTGAATGAGAAAAATACTGTATGACTTATTCAGCCAAGTAGGAAATAAAAATTTAATGTTAGACATCTATCGTATAATGTAACAAAATCCTCGATATTATTTGGACTGAATTAAATAAGTGATCATTTATCATTATTATTTATAATATTATTATTATTCATTTATATTATTTAATGTCATATTATAGTGTCATGGTATATAAGTATATTATACCTAAACAATTTTATAATTTATGAAGTTTATGTCAAAACAATATATCAAACGTTAGTACGTTTGTTATACTTAATATTTATATACAAATAAGTATTTAAGTTATATCACAATACTACAATAGGTACTGACGAATGCACCGTAATTCGTTATTCGTACTAATCGTGTTGAGCAATGGACGACAAACATCATTAAATTACAATAATTTATCTTCAATTGAACAACTCGGACTCTTATTGTTATTTATTATACATACTATGATAGTATAATGCAATAATAAAATAACATGGTTTAAGATTACCACACGCATAAAATGAAACATATTTTTGTATTATGTAAAATATATTATAGCTAGGTATATAAATTAATAATTACAAACCTCATATTATTATTATTTATTATCATATGTTTATAAACAAGCATATAAAGATATAATTAAATATGTAATTTATAAGTTATTATATTATATTAGACATTTTAAGTATATTTTATTATATCAATATTTTAATGACACTTATACATTTAACCGTTGAATGCTTAATTAAAACCACAATGATTGGGCAAAACTTACACGAAAAGGAAAATTCACACGTAGATTTGCTTTTTTTATGATATTGAATTAAGAACATAAAAATACCCCCTTTGAACAGCTGATTTGTATTTTTTTATTGTACAAACTCGAGGTCAAGAATAATTCACCTGTAACACCTATATTACAGCAAACCTACATTTTACGCTTTAAATAGTAACTCATGCAAAATCTATACATATATAAATATATAATATTATCCATGTTAGTTATAAATATTACTTAATTATATTGTCATCGCACTATTATCGTTATAATGTTGAATAGCTTATCTAAACACTGAAATATATCCATAGCTTATATTATTGTAGATAGTTATTTCTACATCTACATAATGAATTATATCATTATTTTATAATGAATTTCAACTTGTTTTTTTTTTTTTATATATATATATAGCCACAGTTAAAATAAATTATTTACTCAAACAAATTCATCCAAATTAATAAATAAATAATCCAAAAATACGTTTAATTTTACTATACACATTATAATATTGTATATTAACTCCTTTAAAATATTATTTATTCCCCTAAAAATATATTGTTAACATAATATGCTTACGTAAATCTCCCTACAAACATATAGTAAGTATTAAACTTGTGCTAATATTCCTCTAAAAGGTAATAAAGATAATTCAAATTGCATTTATATTTATTCATATTTTATGTTTTATAAGATTAATATATTTTTATTTAATTGTCAATAAATAATATTAATCAAATTATTGTACAATAAAATTTATTACATTTTATTATATAATAACAATTTCACATTATTACAAAAATAAATACAATTTTAATTAAATAAATATGATTTATTTGTTAAATAAAATATGATTAAAGAAGTATAAATATAAATATTTTTGGAGGATAACTAAAACCGCCTCTAAGCGGTGTCAATGAATAATGCTTGATGGTTCTATTTTTTTTTTATTTTTTTTTTTTTTGAGATAGTAAGATGTTTCAGGAAAATTATCTTGAATATAATACAGTAGCAAAATGTTTTTAGGTAAATTTACTATTTAATTTTTGAAAGGAGTTTATAAATTATATGTATCTATTAAATACAGACGTATACAAACATGATGATTAAATCAATTTTTAAAATCTTAAAAATAAAAGAAAACCAGTCAACTCTAAATTCTTACTGTTCTGCTTACTTTTTTGGGTTATCCAAAAGCAATAAATCTAAATTTATAAAATTATTATCAGATCAATGTAGTCCTATGACATGTAAATATAGGATTACAAAACCTTCCAACCTCAGAATAATTTAAGCCTCCCAGTCAATTTCACTTCGTAAATCATCTCTTCTTCTCGGTCCATTATTTCATCGAATTCACTAAACAATTCTTTATTAATGGCAAAGATACGCCGATTCTACCAGAATCAATTACACCACAAAGAACAACAATAATTTAACTCATAAATTGCATCAATTTTTAATTTTTAATGTAGGTAGCTCAGCTCTGCAGCTTTTCATACCAAACAATTAAATCCTATCATTTTTAATTTTTTTCAAAGTTGACCATCATAAAAATCCGTTAATTGATCAACAATCCTCCCACACAATTTCCAATACTCCACGGAAACGTCTAAATGGATTTGGCTAATAAAGAATAACTCATTTAATTTGTCGGGTAGCACTACAAAGTGCTTTCCCAACACTATTATTCCCTCCATTTATTTACTTGTCATCAAAATGACTTAGTGTATATTTTTATGTACAAAATTAATTTAATTAATCATTTTTTATACAAAAAAAATGTATATATATAATATATAATATATACGAGCATATTATACTTCATTATAACTATAATAGCTTAAATAACATAATATGTTAACTACAAAAATAATTTTTTTTTTTTTTTTAATTACTTAATAATAACGATAAAGATTATTATGCGTTTAATTTACTGTTTTAATTAATCTAACATTGAATAATAATGAGTATTTACAAATAGAGCATTAAACGAATGTAATTACTAATATTAACAAAATTTCTAACACAACCATATTTCTTGTTACAAAATATACGTGCATTTTCATCGAAACACACAATGAAAATCGTAAATATCGCTTGAAACTGACATTCAGGTATACTATATAGCACACAAAAAATATTATATTATATTTTAAATAGGTACTTATTAGTCTGTCTAACAGACAGAATTCTAAAACAAGACATAATACGATGAATAATTAGATTATTTATTTAG